TTCATCCTCCGGATCGAGGTCATCGAGAATGGGCAAAGAAATCTTGTGGTCCACCAATATATTCTGCAGGACAGCTGCCTGCTTCGAGAAGAACTCCACCTCTTTGGTCCTCTTCTTTAGGAGGTCGATGGCGGCAATGAAATGTTCGGTGCGAAGCCTTATTTGCGACTCAACCAAAGCAAGCGTGTCGAACTTTTCGAGGAACCACGGAGATATAACAATCTTCTCGTGCCTTCTCAGCTGAGAGTTCTCCTCCTTCAGCTTCTCCATCTCCTCGTAGATGTTAGCTCCTAAGGACAGGGAAGCATGGAAGTCCAAGTCATATTGGTGAAGTTGGCGCCTCCACTCTTCCTCTTGTTGCCTGAAGCGGTGCACCAAACGGGAATGTGCCCGTAGGTTAAGGGCATTAACAGCATCAGAAAATTCCTTCTCGAGGGAACTAACTTTGTCGGTATTGTGGACATCCCCAAACTTCCTCAAAAGCGAAGAAATCATCGAATACATGAGAAACTTTGCAGTCTCATCTTCCTCAAGAATCAATAGACGTACATGATGAACAAAGTATGAATCCTGGCATAAGGCACAAGAGTATGTCAAATATCTGAGGAAAGGGGCATCGATTTAATTAACAAACGGCACAAAGGTTCGAGAGTCCCTACAACAACCTAAGGTCTACAACCTTAGCATCAAAAATCCTATTACAAGAAGAAGACTCATACTTCCTTCTGACCCTGCGGCTGGCCTGGCTGGCTCTCATTGGTTTCCTCGACGGGTGGAGGAGCCGACGTTCCTTCTGGCTCCTAGTTGCTCTGTCCATCGTCCTCGACCTGTTCCAAGGAATCCTCTTCCCACTCCACCTCGACGCCAATGAAGTCTAGGGCCGACTCCGGCACGCGCACCTCCTCCCCGGCATTATCAGGGAGCACCGTGAGGGCATCTTCCTCGAAGGAGGAGATCTCCGTCGAGGATCTCATCTGAGGAACAGCGCTACACAGTGGTCGAAACAGAGAGAGCTGGCCTGTCAGAAAGTTGCTGCAATCCTTTCTTGAGGGCTTCGTGGAGTGTCTTCTTAGGATGTGGCCTTATAAATTGTTGAAGCCACCCAGCATTGATGGTCCTCCCACTCTCCATCCTCTCGAGGGCAGCCACCGCTACACCATGTCCTCCTAGCACCTTGGCATCATTGTTGATGCCCACCAGGATGCTCGCCAATCCACCAGTGGGCACCATTCTTGCCCAAAAACCGGTTATCCAGGCCTGTAGCTCCGATCGGCGAACATGAGTCTCCCTATATTCGGACAGCTTGGCCTCGAGCTCCCTATACATGGCCTGAACATTAGCCAGCTCTTGCTCCCTAGCAAGTCTCAGGGCTTCCTCCTCCTTCCTCGAGGCCTCGTTTGACTGCCTCTCCTATTCGAGAAGCCCCTTTTTAGCCTGCAAGCTAGCAATGTCCTGCTTCAATGACTTCTCTCGCATGAGGATGCTAGCCATGGCAGTAGTCAATTGCAACAAATACATAAGGTTAACAGGGGCATCGTAAGGCCTTCGAGAAAAGGTAACTCATGATGAGGAGAGTATTACCATTTTCAGCGATTCCTCCTCCGTCAAAGTCGCCGCTACTTCCTCGATGACGGGGAACTCGATCTTGTTGTCCCCAAAATGATATATGGCAGCAGCAGCAGTATATGTCAACGACTCGTCGGTGTCCTCGACGTTGTTCTTCTTTTCTAGAGAGGCCTCAAGTGGCCTGAACCACTCCGGATGCCGCTCTATCACCGGAACAGCCTCGGGCACTGGGTCCTCGGGCATCGGGACCTCTGCTTCTTCAATAGCAGGAGGGACAGTCTTTGATGGGTCAGCAATGTCATCTTCCTTCCCCTCCACCTCGATCGGGACTTGCTCCTCGACCGGCTTTTCTACTCCCTCGAGAGTGGGAGTCTTCTTCTTCTTGGCCTTGACACCCGCATCGGACGCCTTCACAAGCCTTCTGAGCTTCCTCTTCTTAGTGACCTTGTTGGACGACCCCTCATCATCTGAATTTTTAATTTCAAAAATCTGGGCGTCACCAAACAATCCAACGGTATCTTTGCTCGATGACATGACCTAAAACAAAAACAATGCACATAACAAGTTAGTACCTTTTTTTCTCTCGACGTGAACCGGAGGAATGTATTGTTGCACTTCCGTATAGCCAAGGATGTTCTCGATCGATTCCAAGGCGTCGATGTCAGCCCTATACCTCTCAATTCTGGCCTTATCATGCTTGGACCAGGCATCTTCCACCCCGCCCACTTCATGAGCTTCCCGATAATCCCAAGCCATACAAAAATCGTCGGGGGGCGAAACAAATAAATAATTTGGCTTCCACGTTGGGGAACCATCAAAGAGTCCTATTATGCGGTTTGCCTTCGAGGAGACATTCGTCTTAACGTTATACCAGTCCTTGTATTTGGTCGAGGGCACGCAGACCTTAAAAAAGTATCTCCATACTAACAATCGATGAGCTATTTTCTTTATCTCGCAGAGTCTCAGGAATTTGAGAACTGCTGTGACTAAATTCGGGGTAAATCGAGCAAGTGGAGTCTTATAGTACTGCACTATCCTACCAAATAGAGGATGAAGGGGGAATCTTAGTCCTAAGAACATGGACCTATCATACACAGTGATTTTCCCCTCTGGTGGAGTATTAGCTCTCTCAGTACCTAAGAATGCTTGATATTCTAGATATATGGGGAAGTCATACTTTTCGGCAATGGCTTCAGCCTTTTCAAAGGAATCTATGGTGGATGTAAAGTCAGAAACTGTTCGCGACGCCATATCTATCCTAATATATGCAAATCTAGCAGGTATCAGACAAAGCAAAGTATATACACCAATATACAGTGATAAGAATACCCGAAGACTAGAGGACTTACTTATGGAGTAACGCTTCCCTGGCAACGATTATTGGACGGATTTTCAGACTCTGTGGATTCTCCTTGACGGCGGTATTCGGTTGACAGAAGAATCTGGTACGCCGGGGCAGAAGGTGTGGAGTTTCTAGGTTTGGAGTTTTCTGATTGTAAGTATGAAGTGAAGAAGTGAATGGTTAAAGCTTTTTCTTCCCACCGGTTAAAACAGAATACAAACTGTTTTCTCTCTCACACGACCCGACCCCATAGGCGAAGTTCAAGGCACAATTACGATTGCCTAGCCGCCGTTTGGGAATCGTGCGTGTTAAAGGGGCGAAATTTCCGTTTAGGCGGGATAAAAAAAAGGGGGAGTTGGGTCGCCTTCTCATTTCGGATCCTCGCCCGTGGATAATAACATTTGGATTGGGCCAAAACTTATTCATGTCATATGGGCCAGGTCTTATTTTATTCCATGCGAGCCGGGCCAGGTCAGTTTTATTTAATGTCAAGTCTTATTTATTCTGCATAATTAACACTTGACAGGGGCACTTGATGAGTCCATATCCGTCACCCCAGTCGACCGGCCCATTACTCAGCCCATTACTCGATCCTAGGGTTTAACCGCCTCTGGTATGGCACCATGTTATTACTAACCCTAGTAGGAATCGGATGTTGGTGAGGTCTATAAATAGGGACCATTATTTCACAATAAAGGTACGCAATCCTGGCTGTCAAATTAATATATACGCAACCTTATTTTCTGACTTAAGCTTCGGAGTGTCTACCCTCGGGAGACGCCCGAAGTTCTGTTTTGCAGCGAATCCTAACCGGAGTTCCACCCTACACCGGCGGTATAATTCCAGGTATCGTAAATATGCACATTCTGAAGGTGTCAATTACGATTAAACTACCTGAACACTTTAGTCCTTGAATCCCAACAACTACTATTATCTGTTCTTCAATCCCTCTACCAAAAAGACGCATTCAGATTTCTGCAATGACATTCCCTTGTTAATGGAAAAACACAATTTGTAGCCACCGGACTTGATTCTACCTTCACACGAGCAGTTTTTCAGAAATATTTACTCCCTCCGTCCCATAATTAGTGTTCAATTTGTATTTTTATTTTTAGTTCAAATTGTACTAAAAGTGAAATTTCAAACTGGACAATAATTTTGGGACATAAGAACTATATAGGAGAAAAAGTCTTATTAAAGTCTTATTTTATGTAGCTCAGAAGAAGGTAAAGATAGATAGTACTCTCAGTTCACCAAAATATACAATCAAATAAGGTGATCGAACAAGTAATGTGGCTGATCCATCTGCAAATATTCTTCAAAGATTGCTAGCTATATTGAAAGGTGCTCTAACCAAATTGTCATCGTTTTACAGGCAAATCTCCCCCAAAAAAAAAAAAAAACAAACAAACAAACAAATAAACGACGTATAAGCACAAACTTTATTGGGGCATTTGGAATCCATGTATTAACGAGAGCTTGAGATTGCCTCATAATGTCATCATGAACAAGAGTGGTATGCGCCTTACAAGGCGCTGAGACTTTGTGATTTTTACAAGTATTAGGATAATTACTATATGATTAGGTATAGAATTGATCATCAATGTACTAAAAGTTTGTAGTCTAAAGTCATATCCTTGGAAGATTCTTCCTCCACGTGATCATTGGTTTCTCCAAGATTTCTATTTGGCCTTCTCTAGGTGTCAGTTGAACCCATGGTTAACAATATTATTTGGCTCACCCTTTACAGACACAAATATAAAAGAAAGCCATCTTTCGATTTTCAGAGAGTTGATATTGAAAGTATTTTGTTCTCAGTTCTTTGATTTTTAGTTTGGTTAATTCTCCTTCTTTCCGTCCTAGTACGAATCACAACACACAATTTTAATAATATATTTTTTTTAGACCGAAAGAATCTAGTAAACTAGATTATTTTATGGGACGAAAGCAATTCATTGTTTAACCAACGTAGGCGGGATGGGAGGACCATGAGATTGAGATGCATTACCAAACAGTACGTGTGAAATAAATATTTGTTCCGTATTGGGTGCAGAGTTGCCTGAGCTAAGCTAACTGATCAATACCGTATTAAGAAATTACTAATGCTTTCAGCACGAACAATTCTTTTTCAGTACCGAGGTACAATTCTTTCTGGAATTCAACTAAAACCAACCTTAATATAAAAAAAAGCAGCAAGATGATCACAAAGATGGAAACTTAATTTAATGGCAAACTATATTCTTTTCTCTGTTTTCATAGCATTTCTTGTATCATTATTGCTATGGAAGGGATCCAAATCGGCCCAGAAGAAGCTACCACCATCCCCATGGAAGTTGCCAATAATTGGTCATTTGCATCATTTGATTGGTACCCCACCCCATCATGCCCTCACAAAATTATCCCAGAAATATGGTCCTTTGTTTCATTTGCAGCTCGGAGAGATCCACGCCATTGTGGTATCGTCCCCGCGGTTAGCGAAAGAGATAATGAGGGCTCAGGATGTTGCTTTCGCGGATCGCGGGAGATTCCTTGCATTTAAAATCATGTTCTACAATTGTACAGATGTTGCCTGCGCCCCATATGGGGAGTACTGGAGACAGATGCGGAAAATCTGCACTTTGGAGCTCCTCAGCGCTAAAAATGTCCGGTCATTCGGCTCGGTTAGGCAGGCCGAAGCCCTGAGGCTCATCAGATCTGTTAAAGCTTTTGTTGGTCCTGATTCAGGACCAGTTGATTTGACAGAGAAACTGACAGAATACACTAGTTCCATGGTGGTCAGAGCAGCATTTGGGAAAGTCAGCAAAGATGAACAGGATGCATTCTTGCAGCTACTTGAGGAAACATTGCCTTATGGCCATCGTTTCGAGATTTCTGATCTGTTCCCTACTCTGAAACCTCTCCATCCTTTGCTTTCCAACAAGAAAGGATTGATGAAGATCCATCAAAAGCTGGATAGGATGTTAGACGGCATCGTCGATCAGTATCTCAGTGACAATTCACTGAGATCATCAAAATCATCCTCATCGGCTGATCCGGGTAATGAAGATCTAATTGATGTTCTGCTGAGAATTAAGGATAGTAATGACCTTCAACTTCCAATCACAAATAATAACATCAAAGCTGTGATGCTGGTAAGTTTGATATACATATGGTTCTCTTCTTCTGTTTTTTTTTTTTTTTTTGTTTGACTACATCAAAGCTGTTTTCAGATACATTCAACTCTAGATAACAACAGAAAATTTAATCTATGCAGGATGTATTTACAGGGGGAACAGAGACTTCATCATCGACTGTGGAGTGGGCAATGGCTGAGTTGATTAGTCATCCTGAGGTAATGGCTAAACTCCAAAATGAGATCAGGACAGCTCTCAGGGAGAAGGAAACAGCTGAAGAGGCTGATATTCAAGAATTGGGATACTTAAAATCAGTGGTTAAAGAAACTCTAAGGCTACACCCGCCAGTGCCTTTGCTGGTCCCAAGAGAAAGTAGGCAACAAACTGAGATTGACGGTTATATCATCCCGGTTAAAACATTAGTCTTTGTAAATGCATGGGCGATTGGAAGAGACCCCGAGTCTTGGGATGATCCTGAGAGTTTCAAACCGGAGAGATTCGAAAACAGTGCTACAGATTTCACAGGAAATCACTTTGAGCTTATACCATTTGGTGCAGGAAGAAGGATGTGCCCCGGAATATCTTTTGGCCTTGCCAATGTGTATCTTCCATTAGCTCTTTTACTCTATCATTTTGATTGGAAAATCCCAAATGGCCTCAACCCAAACGATTTAGACATGTCTGAAACTTTTAGCATTACTGCATCACGAAAAAATCACCTTCTTTTGATCCCCACAGTTTATGAACCTTCCCTGTAGAGAAGTACCACCAATACTCCTAGTACCATCTTCATGAACTGAAAGTATTACTTGTGGCCGTGTGATGTGTCCCTTAATAACAATAACATTTTGTCATTTATATCCCATTATCAGTTGACGAATGGAAGCTTTATGCACTAGCATCATATATCATGTTTGGAAGCTTCAAAATGGTCGCGTACAAGAATGAAAGAGTGAATCTATATCACATTGTCCAGTCAGTCATTCTCAGGCTGAAGATTCTATTCGCGACCATCTCGAAAGTTAAAGATAGTACAAGTAAACGAGAGTGGCGTGCTTGGATGAATATATTTCCTGAATTTTGTTCACGAAGACCTTGTAGAGTATTTGAATTTCTTCTAGCTGTTTGTCTTTTCACTGTGATCTTTGTCGGAGTTGGAATAGTGATAATGTTGATGCAGGGAACTTATATTCTTACAGTAACAATATTTTCAAACTTTTCATTCTGGAAAGAAAAAAAGAAGAAAAAAAAAAGAAAAAAAAAACGAAAAGCTGCAATGAGACAAATTGATCTGCAACTTTTCTTCAAAGATTATCAGCTGTGGAAAGTGATCTGGAAAATTGATCTGCAACAGTATACAACCTATGAAAAGTGCCCAAGCTAGTCTAATTGTCATTATACTGATAGACCCTCTCCCAATGCCTGATTATGGACAATGAATCGCCATCCTTGCTTTTGTATTGCAGAAGTACCTTTCAGGTCCTAACAAATATCCACAATGCAGAACTACTGCAACCGAAACAAGACCAATATCAAGAAACTAGGATCCGGTGTGATGGATAAAACCACATTCACCGGCAGCAAACAACCTCGTTATTCCCTTCTTCCCGAGACTGTATATATTCAGCCATCAAAACAGGCTTATTGTCAATTACAAAATTATATATTCTGGCCGGAAGAAATTGCAATCAAACTAACCTTTTCCGGGAGGACTGAATCATTGAAATTTTATATGCATGCTCCTCTATAGCTGCATTCATTAGTTTCAACTTTCCTCTCATTTAACGATACACAATAATAAAATCGCATTAACTTTAGACGCCTAAATTTCCACCTGCACATAGCATTTCAAGCACCATGTGAAAATCTGATAATTCATCATACAGAGTTCAAAAGTTCAAGAACACAGGTTCATCTCAAATACTTTAAGATGAAGAAGAAGAAGAAACACAGCTACCATTCGAGATATGTCCATAAGGAGATCTTAATGGGAGAAAGTACTATTAGGTGAACTGATATGCTTAGTTAAAATGTTCTTCCAATGAAAAGACCTTTTTCTACTCGCAGATGGAACAAATCTCAGCTGGCGCAGACCTTTTCTAAGTTTCCTTGCAGATCTGCATGAGAAAGAAAAGGTAAAACTACCAAATGAAAGTGCAGAGTTAAGAACTTCAGAAGATGTGATTACCCAACTAAATATTACTAGGTGATGATATTCAAGAAACAAAAAAATTTTAAATCAGTTTCATATGCATCAGGTGACTAATAAATCATTTAAGCAGGTCATGAACCATTTTCAGATGTGACATTGATTATTTCTAAACCACTGAGTAAAATTTAGCAATAATTAGTCAAACCTTAAACCATGGCCATTAAACAATGCAAAACCCAAATAATTCATTCTGTCCCATTAGCTGGGTATGATCATATAGTTGAGAAACATTTCCCAAACAGCACGTCAGATGTACCATATTTTTCTGGCCTGCAGATTTTAAAAGTCCAGGATACTTCTCCAATGAATTAATATCATATTCATCTTTTAAGCCTAGTCATTAGGAAGTACAATATATACTAATCAGTTAATTAATCCCTTCAGGGTTAACAATTCGTACAATGCTGGAAGTCAACCACAACGAATGTTGATAAATGCGAAAAGGAGCGTGAGAGAGATTAAATTTCTTGAAGATGGAAACTTTCATGGTCAACTTCCTTTTCTTCCCTGCATTCATTGCATTTCTTTTGACATTATTACTGTGGAAGGGATCCAAATCAGCCCAGAAGAAGGTACCTCCATCCCCATTGAAGTTACCAATAATCGGACATTTGCATCATTTGGCAGGTGCTCCACCACATCATGCACTCAGGAAACTGTCCCAGAAATATGGTCCTCTGATGCACTTGCAGCTGGGAGAGATTCCTGCTATCGTTGTTTCATCACCGCGATTAGCTAAAGAGGTAACGAAAACTCAAGATCTAGTCTTTGCGGACAGGGGAAAATTCCTGGCAGGAAAAATCCTGTGCTACAATTTCACTGATATTGCTTGTGCACCATATGGGGAGTACTGGAGACAAATGCGCAAAATCTGCACTTTGGAACTCCTCACTGCTAAAAATGTCCGCTCATTTGGCTCGATTAGGCGCGAAGAAGCTTTGGATCTCATCAGATCTATTGAAGCTCAAGCTGGTAAGTCTGCACCAATAAATTTGACACAGAAATTGGCAGAATACGCTAGTTCCATGGTGGTCAGAGCTGCATTTGGGAGAGTCAGCAGAGATGATCGCAATGCATTCTTACAGCTAATCAGGGAAGCAACTCCCCTTTCCAGCGCCTTCGAAATAACTGATCTGTTCCCTTCCCTAAAGATTCTCCACCCTTTCCTTTCCAGGGAAGGTAGATTGATGAAGGTCCATCGCAAGCTGGATAAAGTGATGGACAACATCATCGATCAATACGAAAACTTAGCCAGATCAGAATCCTCTGATGAAGATCTAATTGATGTTCTTCTGAGAGTCAAGCAGAGTGATAAACTTCACCTTCCAATTGCCAGGGATAATATCAAAGCGATTATGCATGTAAGTGTGATAAAACATTATTCTCTTCTTTGGATTCCTAATAAGGTTTTTGGCTTCTCTACTTGAAATCAGTTGACCTATACATATGAATTCTTAATTTTCACGGTTACCTATATTTATTCAATCTGTGTAGGATATGTTTACTGCAGGAACTGAAACTTCTTCATCGACGGTGGAGTGGGCAATGGCTGAGTTGATTAGTCATCCTGAGGTAATGGCTAAACTCCAAAATGAGATCAGGACAGCTCTCAGGGAGAAGGAAACAGCTGAAGAGGCTGATGTTCAAGAATTGGGATACCTAAAATCAGTGGTAAAAGAAACTCTCAGGTTACACCCTCCAGTTCCTTTGTTGGTTCCAAGAGAAAGCCGGGAACAAACTGAGATTGACGGTTACACGATTCCTATCAAAACTCGAGTCTTCATTAACGCCTGGGCGATTGGAAGAGACCCCGAGTCTTGGGATGATCCTGAGAGTTTCAAACCGGAGAGATTCGAAGACAGTGACAAAGATTTCATAGGGAATCACTTCGACTATATACCATTTGGTGCGGGAAGAAGGATGTGCCCTGGAATGTCATTCGGTCTGGCTAATGTCTATCTTCCCTTGGCTCTTTTACTCTACCATTTTGATTGGAAACTTCCAAATGGCCTCGATCCGAATGATTTAGACATGTCAGAAAATGTTGGCCTTGTTGCAGCAAGAGCAAATCCTCTTCTCTTGATTCCAACATTGAATGATCCATCGAACACCCAAGGCTTGTAAGGGAATCGCTTTCTCTGTCTCTTATCTTTTATCTCAATTCAGATAACATCCTATATGGTTAACTTCGCTGGAAGATTTTCTCTTTTAGTTATTGGAATCATCTGTCTTATGTTTTCTGTCCATAATAGACTTCTTTGTGGGATCATGATTAATGTGGAGCAAAAAAATCCAAACATATTGCACTGGAGAATTTGAGCAGTAGCTTGAACTATATCATCGATAGTTCGATATGGTTTTTTTCTAGGGCTAAAAGTGTTTGCAAAGATTCTGCTATTTTTGGTTCATTAAAGAGGAACCGAATGAAACTCAAATTTTAGTCCTTATTTGCTTATCTGCTAAGCCGCTCTGGAAATAAAAATCTCCTTTAAACACAAGACATCTTGCTTTGATTACGTTTACGCGCTCTGAAACATGGTAACTCTGCGCATTCAATCCGGAAAAAACAAAATTAAAAACCATTGAACTGTTGACAAATGCTTTCAGTCATCTAGAGACAAATGCTTTCAGTCATTAAAACATGCTTATCATACCGAAATTATCATTCCTACTGCCGGCTACAATTGCAGTCTGACTCTTTACTTTTCCCTCAAGGATCTTCGTTGAAAGTCACCGTCTATCAAAATCTGATTACAAAAAGTTCAGAAAGTTGAAAAATGAACATTATGTGTATTCTTATACAATATAATAAATAAAGAACAACTACATTATTGAAAGGCAAACTCATCTCTGATATGTGATCTGTAAAGAAACCATAATTGGGGTGGTGAAATGATATGCTTTGCTGCTCACAGATGGTAAAACTACCTTATGAAGTATACATAATTGTATACTCCTAAATTACAACATTTGAAAATTTTGAATAGCTTTATCCATATCGTTAAGGTTTAGTTTCGTATACGTTACATGCCTGAATTAGTCAACTAAATAGCACTAAGTACAGCATGAATAAGCAATAATCAGATACATCAAGCAGGATATGTAACTTGGAGACAAACGACAAAAACAAAATTTTAAAAAAAACACCACGAGTTTAGTACTTACATTATACTGGTAAAATCATGTAGCCCCAGGTCATCATCTGATTGAGAAACATCACCAAACACTATGTCAGCTACAAGACTTTTCTGGCCTGTGGATTCGAATCTGAAAGCTAAATCGGATTAAATAATATCACATTCATTTGATTAGCCTTACTGTTAAGAAGTAGAAACACATGACACCAAGCAAATCGTGCTTTTGTTATCCACGATTTCTGGAAGTCATCAGCAACCAACGTTGATAAAAAGCCAGAAGCAAACAAGGGAGATTGCTTGAAGATGGAAATTTTCATGACGAGCTTCGTTCTTTCCTCTATTTTCGCAGTAGCTCTTACAGCAATATTGCTGTGGAAGGGATCTAAATCGGGTCAGAGGAAGCTATTACCGTCCCCACGGAAGTTACCAATAATTGGACATTTGCATCATCTGAGTGGTGCTCCACCCCATCATGCTCTCAGAACATTATCTCAGAAATATGGTCCTCTTATTCACTTGTGGCTAGGAGAGATTCCTGCAATCGTTGTGTCGTCTCCACGATTAGCCAGGGAGGTAACAAGAACTCAAGATATCGCTTTAGCGAACCGGCCTGAGTTTCTGGTAGGAAAAATCCTGTGCTACAACTCTACAGATATTGCCTGTGCTCCATACGGCGAGTATTGGAGACAAATACGCAAAATCTGCACATTGGAACTCCTCACTGCGAAAAATGTCCGGGCATATGGCTCGATTAGGCACGAAGAAGCTTTGAATCTCATCTCATCTATTAAAGCACTTGTTGGTCATTCTGCAGCAATTGACTTGACAGAGAAACTGGCAGAGTACACTAGTTCCACGGTGGTCAGAACAGCATTTGGGAAAGTTAGCAAAGATGATCACAATGCATTCTTAGAGCTCGTCAGGGAAGCAACTCCACTTTCCAGCGCCTTTGAAATTTCTGATCTGTTTCCGTCTCTGAAAATACTCCATCCTTTCCTTTCCATCAGGAGTAAATTGATGAAGATCCATTACAGGCTGGACAGACTGTTGGACAACATTATTGATCAGTACGAAAAGTTAGGACAAACAAAAACATCAAACGAAGATCTGCTTGATGTTTTAATAAGAGTCAAGCACAACAATGACCTTCAAGTTCCGATTACAAGGGACAATATCAAAGCTATTATGCATGTAAGATAACATATCTTTTCCCTTCTTTAGAATCCATACTAGTAGAGATTCTACCTGAAAACTAAGTTAACAAGATTCCAGGACTTTTCTGCATCTATTCGATTTGTTTACTTTATGTTCATACCTTGGATGCATTCAGCTACACGTAATACAAGAGTTTTCAAATAGTGCAGGATATTTTTACCGCAGGAACAGAAACTACCTCCTCGACACTGGATTGGGCAATGGTTGAGTTGATTAGACATCCTGAGGTGATGGCCAAGCTCCAGAACGAGATAAGAACAGTTTTTGGGGAAAAGGAGACAATCGAAGAGGCTGACATCCAAGAAATAGGATACTTAAAATCAGTGGTTAAAGAAACTCTCAGGCTTCACCCGCCAGTCCCTTTATTGGTTCCAAGAGAAAGCCGGGAACAGACCGAGATTGATGGTAATATCATCCCTGCCAAAACCCGAGTATTAGTTAATGCCTGGGCGATTGGAAGAGATCCTCAGTATTGGGATGATCAAGAAAGTTTTAAACCAGAGAGATTTGAGGGCAGTGACAAAGATTTCGCAGGAAATCACTTCGAATATATACCATTTGGCGCGGGAAGAAGGATGTGCCCGGGAATGTCTTTTGGTCTCGCTAGTCTCTATCTTCCATTGGCTCTTTTCCTCCATCACTTTAACTGGAAACTCCCAAACGGCGTCAACCCTGAGGATTTAGACATGGGAGAGAATGTTAGCATAGCTACATCAAGAACAAATCATCTTCTCCTCATCCCATCATTGCATCAGCCATTTCAAACCTCAGGCAGATGAAGGTTGCGCTTTGAGAGCAATTAATAATTCAAGCTAATGGCTTTATCATTGCAATATTACTCATCCTAGTTGATAAATGGCATGAAATGTGAGCATTTCTTCTTTACTTTATGTTTCTGCTCAGACAAAACATGATCAATTCATCCTTTATTTATCGATCTAGCATTCATTATAGAGTGATCTTGTAATGAAAACCATGTTAGTAAATAAAAATGCTGAACACTATTACACTAAAGTTAGGATCGCACCGTGGTTTATGCAAAAACTTGAAAGGCAATAAAAGCAGTTAAGACCATATCATATCTCCCTAAAAGATGTTCACTGGAAACTAACTTTCCACACTCATTTCAACTTTCCTCCAGACTTGGATTTTTGTATCACGCGATCCTCAATTGAGGAAACCTTAATAACAGGCCTAAACTCTTCCTTGCACTTTGCATTTTCGTACACCATGTCTAAATCTGTAGTCTGAACCACAACCGCAAAGCGAAAACTAAGAGATACACCCTTCGTCCCATAATTATTGTCCAGTTTGAGTTTTCATTTTTAGTTCAAAATATACTAAAAGTGAAATCTCAAACTGGACAATAATTTTGGGACAGAGGGAGTAATACGTTTTCGTCCAAAAGAAATAGTCATGTAAGTTGCTCTAAAACCAAACGTAACAGTCAGGACTGTTTTGTTTTGGGCGAACGGAGGGAGCAATGGAGTCTCATAAATTTGATTGTTGGACTTTCAAATTTCATGGCACAGCTAGACGGTCATTATAGTTTCACAGTCTTTATCATTACCCTCGAAAACTATTAGAACTCACTCATTCAAGCAACTTTAAAAAATTGAGCTAAATTTTGACTTCAGTTACTGGGCAGCTGGTTTCATTAAACAACTATGTGATTGAAAAACTTTACCAAAGTCCTTATCAAACAGTCTTTTAGCCTTCATATTTTAACATAAAAGCCAACTTTCTATCATTAATCTTATCTCAACAAGTACTACATTAATCATTGCCCGTAGCTGGTTAACATCAAAATTTCTCACAGATCAATTATTGTCAAGTCACTGTGACAACTAATGCTGATAAAGCAGAAAGTAGAGTGAGGGAGAGACCTTAAAGATGGAAACTTTATTGATCAACTTCATGCTCTTTTCTGTTTTCACAGCAGTTCTTACAACAATATTGATTCGGAAGGGAACCAAATCAGCCCAGAAGAAGCTACCACCATTTCCATGAAAGTTACCGGCAATCGGCCATTTGCATCATTTGACTGGTGCTCCACCCCATCATGATCTCAGAAAATCATCTTAGAAATATGATCCTCTGATGTACTTACAGCTGGAAGAGATTCCTGCCATTGTATTTATCATCCCCTCGATTAGCAAAAGAGGTAATGAGAACTCAAGATGTTACTTTCGCGGATCGTGCAGAATTCCTGGCAGGGAAGATCATGTGTTACAATGGTACAGATATTGCCTGTGCTCCATATGGGGAGTATTGGAGACAAATCCGCAAAATCTGTACTTTGGAACTCCTCAGTGCAAAAAATGTCAAATCTCTTAGCTCGATTAGGCACCGACGAAGCTATAAATCTCATCAGATCCATCAAGCCTTTAGCTGGTCATTCCACACTAGTCATTTTGACAGAGAAGCTAGCAGAATACACTAATTCCATGGTGGTCAGAGCAGCATTTGGGAAAGTAGTAAAGATAAAGCTGGTCAAGGAATCCACGCCCCTTTGCAGTGCTTTCGAAATTTCTGATCTGTTCCCATCATTAAAGATTCTGCATCCATTCTTTTCCAACAAGACTAAACTGATGGAGATCCATCACAAGCTGGATAAAGTGTTGGACAACATTATCGATCAGTACCTCGACGAAGACCTGGTAAGATAAAAAACATGTCAGGAAGATCTACTTGATGTTCTGTTAAGAGTCAATCACAAAAATGATCTTCAAATTCCAATTACGAAGGACAACGTCAAAGCCGTCACTTATGTAAGTCCGATAAACATCATTTCCCTTCTCTGTTTTGTGTTTGGAAGCTCAGATCTTCATAGTGAATAACATGTAGTTCCGGAATTTGTCATTTTTTTTTTACCGGATATCTTCACAGGGGGGACTGAAACATCATCCTCGACGGTGGAGTGGGCAATGGCCGAGTTGATTGGACATCCTGAGGTGATGTCCAAGCTGCAGAATGAAATCAGGATGGCTTTCAAGGAAAAGGAAACAATTGAAGAGGATGATATTCAAGAATTGAGATACTTACAGTCAGTTATTAAGGAAATTCTTAGATTGCACCCACCATTGCCTTTTTTGGTTCCAAGAGAACGTAGGGAGCAAACAGAGATTGATGGATACATCATCCCTGTCAAAACCCATGTCTTTGTTAACGTCTGGACGATCGCGAGAGATTCAGAGTACTGGGATGATCCTGAAAGTTTTAAACCGGAGGGATTCGATGAAAGTGACAAAGATTTCGCAGGAAATCACTTTGAATATATACCATTTGGCGCGGGAAGAAGGATATGCCCTGGAATATCGTTTGGTCTCGCTAATGTCTATCTTCCATTAGCCCTTTTACTCTACCATTTTGATTGGGAACTCCCTGGTGGAATGAACCCTAAGGATTTAGACATGGGAGATGACGATGCTTGGAATTGCACCTCTGGTCTGGTGGTGGATCTCCTGTCAGAGTCTCCTGTAAAACAGAACCTCGGGGCCTCCTGAAAGTAGACACTCCGAATCTTAAGTCAGAAAATAGGGTTGTCAAAGAGTCTGTATGTAAATTGGTGCCAAAGATAGTGTACCTCAATTGTGGAGTAATCATCCCTATTTATAGGCCTAAGAAACATCCGATTATTACTAGGTTTAGTAATATTGAGCCACCGACTTCAAAGCCGGTTGGACCTTGGACAAAGTGATTGGGCCAACCCACATCCAGGGGTGGATTTGGACTCGTCAAGTGTCCCTGTCAAGCATTGGTTATAAGAAATAAACAAGACTTGACACAAAATAATTCTAACCTGAACTCAGCCCAAGTTACTCGAATAGACTCGGGCCCATGACCCATCTAACGGGCCTAATAGTTTATTTCGCGGGTCAGGATTCACCCGGAAGATAACCCGGTTCGAAATTCCGCCCAAAAATTCGACCGCACATAGTAAGTGGGTACGTTCCCCTAAATGACGACTCCGTCATCGTTACCTCTCCTTGAATCCGTCCCAACTGCCGAGACGTGGGAGAGAGAAGTTTAATCTTTGGTCTTATAATACTACACAGCCTAAAGTCTCTTGCCATTCACTCTTTTCAAATTCTAATTCTAAAAGCACAAAGACTCCAGCCCTTGCGTTTCACCCACTGAGACTCCAGACGAATCCCTTCGTGACCGCTGGAAATTCTTGCAAACTGCTGTTACCAGAAGTGAGTCGCCGAGATTCGACGCATTGGGTAAACAGAATCCAGAAGGATACTAATAGAAGTAAGTCCTCTAACTCTCTTGTACTTTTAGAACCTGTTTTCCTTTTGCCTGAATTCGATTATATCTACATATATTGTGGTAGATATGGCTCCACGAACAGTTTCCGGCTTCGCTTCCACCATAAACTCTACCGATAAAGCCCAGACAATAGTCAAAAAGTACGATTTCCCCATAGATCTAGATTATCGAGCACGTTTAGGCACAGAAAGGGCTATTACACCTCCAGAGGGGAAAATAACTATATATGATAGGTTTATGTTCTTAGGGCTAAGATTTCCCTTGTACCCCCTATACGGAGAAATAGTTCAATATTACCAAATTCCCCTTGCTCGATTTACACCGAACTTGATATCAGCAGTCCTCGGATTTGCGAGGCATTGTGAGTTGAAGAAGGTTGAACCTCAATTACTAGTGTGGAAGTATTTTTTCAAAGTTTGTGTCCCCTCGACGAAATACAAGGACTGGTACAACGTCAAGAGGAATCCCACGTCGGGCGCGAAGCAGATAATAGAACTCTTTGACGGTTCTCCAATGTGGAAACCAAACAACTTGTTTGTACAGGCTCCAGAGGATTTTCGCATGACCCGGGATCACCGTGAATTCCAGGAGATGGGCGTTATAGCTGATGTCTGGCCTAAATCCGACAAGGCCAGGATCGAGTGACATAGTGACGACATTACTGCTCTGGAATCCTTCGAGAATTATCTCAACTGGGAAAAAATGCAGCAGTATATTCCCCCAATTCCTGTCGTGGATAAAAAAGGTATTAACTCCTCTTGTGTATTCTTTTTGTTCTAGGCTATGTCGTTGAGCAAGAACACCATTGGCTTGTTTGGTGACGCCAAGATTTTTGATATTAAAAATTCAGATGATGAAGGATCTTCCACCAAAGTGAGCAAGAAGAGGAAGCTGAGAAGGTTAGTAAAGGCATCCGAAGCGGGCGCCAAGTTGAAGAAGAAGAAGAAGCAGACTCCAGCAGTCGAGAAGGAAGGACCAACCGAGGAAGTTACCCCGGTCGAGGAAGATAGGCCCGTCGAGGACAACATTCCTATCGAGGAAAACAGGCCCGTCGAGGAGGGTGCTCCTGTCGAGGGGGATAAGACTATCGGGAGCAGTGTCCCCCGGGAGAAAAGTGGGAACCCGGACACAAGGCGAGACCCCAGCTAGTTCACAACTATTGCGCCTTCGCTGTCTCAGAGGAAGGATGCTGCTGAGAATCCGGACGCTTCTCCCGGGTCATCGTTCTACACTGCAGCCGCTGCCATATTTCACTTTGGGGATGACAGAATCGAATGCCCCATAATCAAAGAAGTGGCTGAAACAATGACGGATGAAGAAGCCTTAAAGATGGTAAATGTTGCCTTCACACATGCCTTTCACATTCCTTGCTTATAACTGCTTCTCGATTTACGCTGACCTTTTGTTTGCAATATTGACAGCTACGCACCTCTTTGGCGAGCATTCTCATGCGCAAAAAGAACTTGAGTGAGGAGATCTCCAGCCTGGAGCTCAAGAAGGGGTTCCTCGAGCATGAGAAGGCTATTTACGAAGAAGCAAGGAAGAAGGAGCAACTAATTCGAGCTGCTAAGGAGGAAGAGCTAGCCACGGCCTAGGCTATGCATAGGGATCTCGAGGCCAAGCTGAAAGAATATGGGGAAACCCATATACCTAAGGCGGAATTGCAGGAATGGATGACTTTTTTTTGGACCAGGATGATGCCTACTGGAGGAATGGCTAACGTCATGGTGGGCATCAATGAGGTGGCTATTGCATTGGGTGGCCGAGACGTGGCCGTGGCTGCTTTGGAGAGAATGGAATCGGGAAAGCCTATCAACACTGGCTGGCTACGATAATTCGTGAAGCCTCACCCTCGAAAGACCTTTCATGAAGCAATGCAGAATGGGTTGTTGCATCTGTCCATCGAGCAGCTCCCTTTGTTTGATCCCTTATGTAGTGGCATCCCCCAAATGGGTTCACCTTCGGAGATCACCGCCTTTGAAGGAGATGCCCCAATAGTGCTACCTGCTGAACCTGGGGAAGAGATGCGGGTACAAGAGCTTGACCGAGATTTTATCGATGTCGAACTGGTCTCTAATGATGACTCCTCAGAGAGGGTCGAGGAAGAAGAAGAGGAGGGCCAGAAGCCTGAAGTCGAGAAGGATCCAGCCGGCGAGAAGAAGGTGCCCCCGACACAGAATCCTATAGAGGAAACCAGCGAGAGCCAACCAAATGTCCCGCCCAACCCAAATACTGTATGAGCGCATTATCTTGTAACAGGGTTTTTGCTACTTGGGTTGTAGACCTTAGCTTTCTGTAGTGTTTGTTGAATGGACTCTATTAATTTGGGATTTATGGAATACCTTTTCCTCCTTTCCTTTTTTCATTTTTAATGCATCATTGCTGATTATGTCAAGAGCCATATTACGTCCACAATGTGCATCTGATGATTCTTAAGGAAGAAGAGATCAGACAGTTTCCTATGTATGCCATGATTTCATCAGCATTAAGAAAATTCGGGAACGTCCACAATACTACCATAGTGGGAGTGCTTGAGAAAGAGATTGTGGATGTTGTTCAAGCTTATAATGTGCAGATAAATTCTCACTTGGTTCAACGCTTTAAGCAAAAGGAGGAGGAGTGGAGACGTCGACTCCATCAATACAATCTCGACTTCTAGGACTCCCTGATTCTAGAGGCGAATATCAGCGATGAGATGAAAAAGTTGAAGGACGAAAATGCTCGACTGAGGAAGCGAGAGAAGATCACGGTATCTCCGTGGTTCCTTGAGAAATTTGACTTGCTCGCCTTGGTTGAGAAGCAGATAGAAGTCCGGTCAGAGCGTTTTATAGCTACCATTGATCTCTTAAAGAAGAGGACCAAAGAAGCAGAGTTCTACTCGAAACAGGTTGCTGTTCTACAGAACATATTGGTTGTCAATGAAATCACTTTGCCCATTTTTGACGATCTCGGTCCAAATAAGGAAGCGAAAGAAAGGACAGCTGCTGAGGAATACCTGCTTAGAATCGACGAACAAGACTGGGAGATTGTAGACTTGGAGGATAAGCTAGGCCATTGTATTAACCAGCTGAGAGCCATCGCGTTCTCTGGGGTTATTAAGTCTTCCCCAGTCAACCCTAGGGGAAAAAATCTCAAGTTTAAATGTATAGTGGTGTAATACATTCATCTCGAGCTTTTATATGCGATTTAAATGTATAGTGGTGTAATACATTCATCTGGAGCTTTTATAAGCGTCGATTAAGTAGTTATACTCGAGTCATAATTTGCATAAGCGCTTATGGGGCCGGATGTAAAGTACACAGCTCTGTCAAAGAACCAGGTACGGGTCCCTCGATAAAATATTATCGCGATCTGCGGTGGGTACGAGGAAAGATCCTCGGTTTATGTGTCCGAATGTTGAATACACAGCACGATCGAGGATGACCCTAAAGAGGGTGTCCATCTCGCTGACTAGTCATAAAACAGTGTCGACACATTTAAAGTATAAAAACTATGTAATGACTTTTATTGATAATTGCCCGGAGACCCGGGATAGCATTACATACAAAGGAAGTGAAAATAACAAGTCATAGAGCAAGCAAAATAGCACATAGCATATAATAATTTAAACATAGAACCTGCGAAGGTTCTGAATGTTCCACCATCGAGGAAGAGTGGTCTCTGTGTCATCCGCTGTCTGCAATCGATAGCTTCCAGACGGGGATACCTAAATCACACGATAAAGTCCTTCCCAATTTTCTGATAGCTTCCTTTAGGCTTTTGCTCGACTGGCTTCATTTCTTCTGAGTATAGATCCCCGACTGCGAAGTCAGTGCTCTTGACTCGCTTATTATAGTGTTTCCTGAGTATCTCTTTGTTCTTGGCTTCCCAGACTTTTACGGAGTCTCGCTGTTCCTTGAGTAGATCGAGGTTAGTCAGGATGTTTTCATTATTGGTTGTCTCAACAAAGCTGATTGTTCGAGGACTGGGAAGACCGATTTCCACAGGGAGAACCGCGTCCATTCCATAGACTAGGCTGTAAGGTGGTTCATCCATAGAAGAGTGAGCTGTAGTGTGATATGCCCATAGAACGTGAGAGAGTTCGTCAACCCAAGCACCTTTGGCGCTGTGCAACCTAGTATTGATCCCATGAAAAATGGTTCTGTTAATCGACTCAGCTTGGCCGTTTGCCTGAGGATGAGCAACCACGGAAAATCGGCGCTCGATTTGCATCTCTGCGCACCATGATTTGAACGGATCACTCTCAAACTGAGTCCCATTGTCCGATATAATTACTCTGGGCACCCTAAAGCGACAAACCACGTTTTGCCAGAAAAAATTCAACACCTGTCTTCCGGATATCAAGGCTAACAGCTTTGCTTCTACCCATTTAGTAAAATAGTCTACTGCCACGATGACCCATCGTAGGCCTCCTGCCCCTTTTGAAAAGGGGTCGATGATAATGGTTAAATTGTTACATAAAAGCATCACACTTAACTTTGTATTTGATGAACAATTGGGGGTATTTCCTAACATTGGTGCAATTTACTTAGCTCATTTTCATGTTATTGTTAGGAAAGGACCGGATTGAATAATTGCTGAAAATTGGAAGCCAAAGGAGCAATTTAAGGACTGCTGAGGCAAGGGTGCTGAGCTGGACGAAGAAGAAGGCCCTTAGACAAGAAGCATCTTGTCATTAATGACCTTGCCTCCTCCTAGAGGCATGCTTGTCCCCCAGCCGCAATCCCAGCCACCACTGCTGATCAATGAGAGCAAAACGGCTGCTGCTGGAAGAGAGAAAAGGAACGGCCAAGTTGGATTGCAGGCTCAAGACATTGGGAGGATTAAACAACTCCAAGCATGGGAAGGTTCTCATGATGAAGACACCGGCTGCAAGGCCCTATAAGAGGGGGAACTGCACTCTCAATGGAAAACTCTCGGAGTCTCTGGTTAGCTTTTCAATTGCAAAAACACTCAGAAAAACTCCAGGTAGAAGACAAGAAAGAAGAAGAAGCAGCAACAACTCAGTGAGGAAGCTAAGTTGAAGAATAGCAACCCAGTTTCTTCTTCAGTTCCACGAGTGAACCCCTTCACTCCCAGGAGTGACTCAGAAACTGCACAAGCTTTCTCCTCATCTCTTGACTGTTAGCTTGAATTTTGTTTACTATGCATACTTCTATGATATCTTTCGATGTAGTAGACGTAGCATTAATCTGTATGAGTAGCTAAATAGTTCCCAGGGGTTATTCTCCTCAACTGATGTTGTAGTTGTCAAAGCACTGGTTATGTTCCTTGTTTTATGGTTGAAAGTTTTTCTACATTCATTACTTAATCACTAAATTGAATGCATGCTAGAGCTAAGGGAGATCTGGAAGGATAAACTTGGTTTGGATTGTTTCAACTTTAACTTATGACATAGAGGTAACAGTCTATGGTTTTAACTAAGATAGGAATATACTTAGTTAACATAAGCATTCTTGAAGGCCTAAGAACTTAATGACTTTGTAGCTGGAATCAATCATTGGAAAATAGGTTGTTAAGGTTGCAAAGATGACTCTAGGAAAAAGGGAACTGACTTAGAGTTATAAGTGAGCTGAATGAACAAGAACTCAACCATTACAGTGCTAATAGAACAACTACAACAGTAGGAGAGGAGAAGAACACCCCTGGCCTCCATTCCCCTGAGTGACTGTTTCCATTCTCCTGAGTGACACCTTGTTGACTGACAGTTTTTTTTTACAACAAATTTGGTAATTAGCTGTCCTCGTGGGATCGACCTAGCTTCCATTATCTACAAAACTCATAATCCTAGCTAGTAATATTTATCTTTTTTTTTGGTGAACTCGGCAAGCACCAGAAAGTGGCGCCGTTGCCGGGGACGGCGTAAAACCTCCAAAAAAATTTGTTGTTTTTGTTTGTGTATATATATATAAAATTCTTCTCTGGTTACCTCGCTAAGCTTCCAGTTTCTTTTCTTTGGTGTATGACTAGAAGGCACCAACGAAGTGAACCTGTTTTTGACCCAGAAATTGAAGCTACCATCCGTAGAACCAGAGCGGCAAGAAGAAGGCAGAACCGGGTACAACAGGACAACCAAGAAGGTTCATCTGAAATGGCTAACCAAGGTGGCAATCCGGAGAACAATAGGAACCCTGGTGGGGATCAACAAAATCGACTGAAAGATCGCTTAGAGATTTCTTCATCCCACAAAGAAGAAGTCCAATCTCCTCTAGTGTTCCCGATGTAGAAGCAACCAATTTTGAGCTCAAGCCACGATGATCCAATGGACTCAATCAGCTGCCCATTCCATGGATTACCTCATGAAGATCCTAATGATCACATCCGAAGTTTCTGCATTTATGCGGTACTTTTAAAATTCAAGGCTTATGTAATGATGACATTAGACGAGACTATTCCCTTTACATTGCGGGATCAAGCCAAGCATAGTTCAACACATTACCCAACAACTCCATTTCCACTTGGGAAGAGTTAAGGCGGTGTTTCCTAAAAATTCTTTCCACTCGCAAAAGCCGCACAACTCGAACGGCAATAATGAACTTCAAGCAGTATGGAACAGAAACGCTTTATGAAGCATGGGAAAGATTGAAAGAAATGGTCAGAAAATGCCCTCAGCATGGTTTGGAAGAGCATCTTCAACTGAGCATCTTCTACAATGGTCTGCTACCAACTACAAGAGACTCCCTTGATGCTGCAGCTGGTGGTGTATTTATGATGAAGCTAGTTGATGCAGCAAGGCAGTTGCTCGACAATATGACCACCAACCATTCAAGATGGCAATCTGATCCAAGGGCAATTTCAAAACAGCCAGGGATGATGAAATTTGATCCCAGTACACATCTGCAAGCTCAAATGGCTGTTATGATGAACAAAATGACTAAGCTCAGAAGTGAGCTGTCCAAATCCAAGGCAGAAGTATGTGTATTATGTGATGGATCCCACAGTTTGGATGACTGCCCTTCTAAAATGGAAGCTGTCCGTTTGTCGACAGGGCAATGCGGGGATTCAACAACTTCAACAATTGGAGAAATCAGCAACAGACCAACTGGAACAATGCTCCACAACAAGGAAATTATAAAAGGCCTGCTCCACCCCCAGGATTCCATAGACAAGATGGTCAGCTTCCCAACTATCAGAATCAGCAACGTTCTAACCAACAATACATACCAAGGGAAGATGAATGGATTTCTGTACAAAATGCAATCAAGAGTTTGGCGGTATCTTGTAAAAGTTTGGAAAATCAGTTGGCCCAGATTGCAAAACAAAATGCTGAAAGACCATCTGGGAGCCTGCCCAGTGACACAATTGTGAACCCCAAGGGGAATGACCAAGAGCAAGCGAAGGCTGTCACTCTCCGAAGTGGAAAGCAACTCAATCAGCCAAGTGAAGAAGTCACTCCTGCGAGTGACCCTGCAGGTAAGAATGAAACTTCTTCTGAGCAAATATCTGAGAATGATGATATGGTTGAACAGAGCAACTCTGCTGAAAAACCCGGAATGGAGGGAATTCAACTTCCAGCACCAATTAAGGAACCACCACGGCCGGCTCAACGCCACCATATCCAAGAAGACGAAGAAAGCAAAAATGGATGAAGGACTCAACAGTTTATTCAGAATTTAGAAAGTATACATATTAATGTACCGCTTGTTGATGCACTTAAACAAATGCCTAAATACTTTAAGTACTTGAAGGATTTAGTGGCGAATAAGCCACAAATGCATAACTCTGCTTTTGTCACTCTAAATGAAGAATGTAGTGCAGCTATCCTGAGAAAATTACCACCTAAGCTAAAAGATCCGGGTAGTTTCACTCTTCCTTGCACTGTAGGAATCAGAGAATTTTCAAAAGCATTACTAGATCTTGGTGCAAGCATAAATCTCATGCCATTGTCTATATTTAAATCCCTTGATCTGGACAAATTTCTGGTACCTACTAACATGACCTTGCAGTTGGCAGACAGATCTCTGACTTACCCAAAAGGAATCTTACATGATGTTCTTGTGAAAGTTGGTAACTTTGTTTACCCAGCCGATTTTGTGGTTTTGGACATGGAAGAAGACAGGGATGTACCCATCATCTTGGGGAGACCTTTTCTGGCAACAAGCAATGCAATCATTAAGGTGAAAAAGGGAGAAATCACACTACACTTTGATGGGGAGAAGGTTACCTTCAACATCTTCAAAAATATGAGATATCCCGCTGAAGTCCACGACTGCTACATGGTAAGAAATGTAGAAGCAGAGGAAGCAGTGACGGAAAAATTACTGCAAGACGATCTCCTCAAGGAACTTTGGTGCCCAGACTATAATGAGGAACAGGAAGGAGGGGATGAGTACAGGGCCACTTGCCTGAGCTACCTGAACCACTCCCCCAAGTGGCATCCTACACAGCAACCCTTTGAACTGATAAACCTGACCAAGGAAGGGAGATGCCTCAAACCTTCAATTGAAGAACCACCTCATCTCGAACTTAATCCTTTGCCCCCACATTTGGAGCAAGTAACACCTTACCTGTAATCATTTCTTCTATGCTTACAGGTACTGAAGAGGACAGATTGCTGAGAGTACTGAGATTGCACAAAGAAGCCATTGGGTGGTCAATTGCTGACATTAAGGGCATCAGTCCCTCCATATGCATGCACAAAATCCTACTTGAAGATGACGCCAGGCCAACCATTGAAGGACAAAGAAGACTCAACCCAGTCATGAAGGAAGTGGTGAAAAAGGAGATTATCAAGCTGCTGGATGCAGGGATTATCTTCCCAATCTCTGACAGCAAGTGGGTGAGTCCAGTGCAGTGCGTGCCCAAGAAGGAAGGAATCACAGTGGTAAAGAATGACCTCCAGGTGCTAATCCCAACAAGGCTGAACAATTCATGGAGAGTGTGCATGGACTATAGAAAGCTTAATAAAGCTATCAGAAAGGACCACTTTCCCCTTCCTTTTATTGATCAAATCTTGGATAGATTAGCTGGATTCATGTATTATTGTTTCCTTGATAGTTTCTCAGGTTACAACCAGATTGCCATAGACCCCGATGATCAAGAGAAGACGACTTTCACCTGCCCTTATGGCACATTTGCCTTTAAGAGAATGCCATTTGGACTGTGCAATGCACCGGCAACTTTTCAAAGATGTATGATGGCCATTTTCTCTGATATGGTGGAAGACATAATTGAGGTCTTTATGGACGACTTCTCGGTCTTTGGTAAGTCATTTGATGCATGTTTGGACAACCTTGGGCTGATACTGAAAAGATGTATAGAAGCCAACCTGGTTCTCAACTGGGAGAAATGCCATTTTATGGTAATTGAAGGAATTGTCTTGGGGCATAAGATCTCACAGGAAGGAATTGAAGTGGATAAGGCAAAGATTGAAGTCATTGAGAAGCTCGGCCCACCGACCACAGTCAGGGGAGTGAGAAGTTTCCTGGGCCATGCTGGTTTTTACAGGAGGTTCATTAAAGATTTTTTGAAAATTTCTAAACCTTTGTGCAATTTGTTTGGAAAGGACACTGCTTTTATTTTTGATGAATCCTGTTTAAATGCATTCACTGAACTGAAAAACAAACTCATCACTGCACATGTGATCATCACACCCGAGTGGTCACAACCTTTTGAACTAATGTGTGATGCAAGTGATTTTGCAGTTGGTGTTTTACTTGGACAAAGAAGGAACAAGGTGTTACATGTGGTTTACTATGCTAGTAAAACCCTTAACTCCGCACAAGTCAACTACACCACTACAGAGAAGGAAATGCTGGCAATTGTATTTGCATTTGATAAATTCAGAGCTTATTTGCTAGGAATGAGAGTCATAGTCTATACCAACCATGCAGCCATCAGGTACTTGATCAACAAAAAAGAGTCTAAACCAAGGTTGATTAGATGGGTGTTGTTGTTGCAGGAATTTGATTTGGAGATAAGAGACAGAAAGGGTGCTGAGAATCAAGTAGCAGACCATCTGTCAAGGCTTGAAGAAATTCCAGAAGACACAACTCCAATCTTAGAAAAATTCCCTGATGAGCCACTCTGGCGAGTGACAGGCACACTCATGAGAGTGACAGGTAACAGGCCTTGGTTTGCAGATTTGGCTAACTTTGTTGTTGCTGGTGTTATTCCCCCAGATCTCACCCCACAACAACGCAAGAGATTCTCGCATGATGCTCAACTCTACCTATGGAATGAACCCTACTTATTCAAAAGATGTGCAGATCAATTGATCAGAAGGTGCATTCCAGAATCTGAATTCACAGAAGTGTTACACAAATGCCACAGTTCACCCTATGGTGGACATTTCAACGGTCAAAGGACGGCAATCAAGGTTCTACAAGCTGGACTGTACTGGCCAACCCTGTTCAGAGATACAAGAGAGTTTGTCAAAAGCTGTGACTGATGCCAAAGGACAGGAAATATTTCTTGGAAAAATGAGATGCCACAGCAGAACGTGCTTGAAGTGGAACTGTTCGATGTGTGGGGGATAGACTTCATGGGTCCCTTCGTGTCATCCTTTGGGAACTCCTATATCCTACTGGCAGTGGACTACGTTTCAAGATGGATAGAAGCTGTAGCTGCAAAGAACAATGATGCTAAAACTGTTCTCAGGTTTCTAAGAAAAAATATTTTCGCCAGGGTTTGGTACACCCAGGATGATACTCAGTGATGAAGGATCACACTTCTGTAACAAGTCATTTGCAGCCATGGTAAAGAAATATGGAATCAGGCACAAGGTATCAACACCATACCATCCACAATCAAACGGGCTAGCAGAAGTGTCAAACAGGGAAGTGAAAAGAATCCTGGAAAAGGTTGTTAATTCTACCAGGAAGAATTGGTCCTCAAGGTTGGATGAAGTTTTATGGGCATATAGGACAGCATACAAGACTCCCATTGGTATGTCTCCATTCAAACTGGTCTATGGGAAAGCATGCCACTTGCCAGTAGAGTTGGAACATAAAGCTTACTGGGCTATCAAGGAACTGAATCTTGATCCGGGCAAAAGCAAGGAGTTGAGATTGGTTCAGTTGAATGAACTGGAAGAATTCAGACTAGAGGCATACGAATCGTCCAGAGTTTATAAAGAAAAAACTAAGGCTTACCATGATCAACACATTGTCAAGAGGAACTTCCAAGAAGGACAAGAGGTCTTGCTGAAATTTTTTCCAGGGAAGTTGAAGTCAAGATGGACCGGGCCCTACAAAATCAACAAGGTCCTAACTCATGGAGCAGTGGAGATCATGAACCCACAAAGTGGCAACACCTTTTTGGTCAATGGTCATAGGCTTAAGCCATACCTTGGATGGACAGAAGGGAGTAAAGGACAGAACTATCAAGTTCTGGTCCTGAAGGAACTTTACTGAATTTCTTTTGAAGTCTGGCATAAGACTTAAAACCAATGCGTTTTATGGGAGGCAACCCATACGTTCTGCTTTTGTATGGCTGACAATGTGCTACTCTAATTTTTGCAGGATTGGACAAGAAATTTGCCACCCCAACAGATTTCAAAAGGTGTAACAGAAAGGGCCTCAGGTAAACTCACTCCTAGGAGTGAAGAAGGTCACTCAGCTGAGTGAACCTACGGGAAGGAATCCTACTAATTTTCTAACCCCGACGTCACTCACGCAAGTGGAACAATCCACTCGCCTGAGTGAGAACAACTGTACGACACTTTCTGCAAAAAGTTACCTTTTGGGCTGTAGTTATGATTTAAGTTTGGGGGGGAATTTTTTCCGGAAAATTTCAAATTTCAATTTTAACCACGTCCGCCTTTTTGAGTCACTTCAGTCAGCCACGATTTCCAAAAACTTTAACTGCTGTGCATTAACTCATAACTCCTTCATTGCTTCGTCTTCTTCATTTTCTTCTTAATCCCAGAATCACTCCTTCAACCACCACTTCCCTGTGTGAACATACTAACAATTTCTCTAAGTTTCCAGGCACATAAGGCAATTTTCAGATTCAATCACAAAACCCCTCTTTCAATTTTGCCAAGACAACTCTTAGGGTTTGTCACAGATGCCGCCGGAAAGGAGGAAGGCTACTGCCTGCAAAAACGCCTCCAACACAAGGAGAAGGATATCATCCTCCTCATCCTCGCCCTCACCTGAACGGCAAAGAACGCCCACTCCACCAGCATCCCCTGCCAGAGAACCCACCCCACCGCCACCTCCACAACCACCAAGGGCGCTGCAAGAACAAGCCCTTAATGCCATCACAGATGAATGGGAGCCCAGGTTGTTTCCAAGGAAGAAGGGTTAGGATTTCTTTTTGAAGCACATAAGGCGAAAGTTCATTCCAGAAAGGGGAATCGGTGAAGATGGCGCAGCTTTTGCCTACATCAAGCGCCATGGCTGGGAGACCTTCTCCAAACCACCGGTCAAGCCGAGGATCCAGATTGTGCAAGAATTTTACGTCAACTTCCACACTGCCCCCAGAGATGGAGTATTCGTCAGAGGCATCAGCGTTAATTGCAGCACAGAGGCCATCAAGGCCATCTGGAAATTACCAAGAATAAGCACTGATTACAGAGAAACCCTGGCTGCCCAGCATCCAAATCAACCACTGGAACAGGCCATTCTGTCCAGATTGGCAAAAGAGGGCACCAGCTGGGAGATGGATGATCAAGAAAACCCTTTGGGGTTTTCAGCAAACGCGTTGCAAATGCCTGACTTAAATCTGTGGCACCATTTCATCTATTCCAATCTGATGCCAACATCCTACACTACTAAGGTCACCTACGAGATGGCTCTGCTGCTGTATGACATTGCCACAGACACACCATTTGATGCAGCCTCAGTCATCCGGGAGCAACTCACCCGATGCATCACTGATCCAAAGGTGAAGAGCTGGTATTTCCCAGTTATGGTCACCATGCTATGCAAAAGGGCAGGGGTGACCTTCCTGCACACAGACGCAGAGAGCAACTTGCAGCAACCATTAAGGATGCATAAGTTGGATCAGAAACCCCCTGGTGCCTCATCCACAGGACAAACAACATCTACTCCCACTCCAACTGGACAGATGAGGCAGAGGGATTTCAACAAGCAGACCAGTTCATCACGGATTACGTCCACCAATGCCGACGAGGACGGAGAAATTTCTGCAGAAATACACAAGTGCATTGGATGCCACAAAACGCCCAATGCCGCATGATCCGCCGATCCACCCACTTCACGGAATGCCTCAATGAACACTCAGGGAAGTGCTGTTCTGCTTCCCTTAATCAGCAATTTATTTGTTGCCTGTTTAATGTTTCATGTGTTGTTTTCTGTACTTTTTGTTTTCTGTTCATCGTTGTTGTTAAGTATTGGGGGCAATGCTTAGGATAAGTTTGGGGGGAGTAATGCAGTAGTAGTTAGTTGTACTTAGTTTTTGGTTAGGTCGGTCAATGTCAGGACAATGCCATTTAGGTCCATTAGGTTCATGTCTAGATTGACTCTGTAAAATATCTCTCAAAACAAAATGAAAATCTTCTAAGGAGCTGTCAACAGTCTAGGATGATAATGGTTTTGAAAAACAATTTTGTTAAACCACTTTTGATACCGAATCGATGCATGAAAGAAGAATGGTGACACTCACTCACACACATGAATAATGCCACTCGTGGAAGTGACTGCCTAGAACATAAATCTTAAAATTTGGCATGACTAATCCACTGTGGTGAGATGTGTCTAGTTCTGAGCTACAATTAGATGAGAAATGCCGTAAATCTGAGACTTTCTTTGTGGTACCCATTCACCGCCTGCTTTCTTTTCTAAAAAAAAAAAAAAAAATTTTAGGGAATGGATCAACCGAAACCTTAGGGATAACAGCAAGGAACCACCACAAAAAGTTCCAAACTATTGGAGTAATAAGGGTTGAGGTATAAGGCAGTGGAGAGATAAGGTTGAATAACACTCCCGTAGGTTGGTCCATTTACATCCCATTCAAAAAAAAAAAAAAAGATTTTCTAAATAAATAAAGCATAAAGGCTGTGCAGGAACTCCAGGATTGAAGTCTTAGTAGGTAAATCGAGTCAAGTAACTTGGGCAAGACCAGATCACAAGAATGACCACCAAAAGTTTAACCGGTTAACTTAGAATGGATTGGTAGGTTTGGCATGAACAAACACTTGTGGCATATGCATTCTAAATTCCCTGTGAAGGTTGGTTGTTTGACTCTGGATTGCAGAAAGATTTGGTATCCGCAAATGTATGTTTTCTTCACTTGAATCTGAGACGGAAAAGTTGACAGCACCTATCTGGTTGTGTTTGGGGTTGTTGCTTGTTTAGTGTCACTTACCTGAGTGGGAATCCTCACTCAGGGGAATAAGTCAATCTTCAGTCATTTTGTCTTCCCTAGTTGTTATGTGCAATTATGAAAGTGCCAACAAAAGTTTAGTGTTTTGCTTGAGGACAAGCAATTCTTCCAGTTTGGGGGAGTTGATAATGGTTAAATTGTTAAATAAAAGTATCACACTTAACTTTGTATTTGATGAACAATTGGGGGTATTTCCTAACATTGGTGCAATTTACTTAGCTCATTTTCATGTTATTGTTAGGAAAGGACCGGACTGAATAATTGCTGAAAATTGGAAGCCAAAGGAGCAATTTAAGGACTGCTGAGGCAAGGGTGCTGAGCTGGACGAAGAAGAAGGCCCTTAGACAAGAAGTATCTTGTCATTAATGACATTGCCTCCTCCTAGAGGCATGCTTGTCCCCCAGCCGCAATCCCAGCCACCACTGCTGATCAATGAGAGCAAAACGGCTGCTGCTGGAAGAGAGAAAAGGAACGGCCAAGTTGGATTGCAGGCTCAAGACATTGGGAGGATTAAACAACTCCAAGCATGGGAAGGTTCTCATGATGAAGACACCGGCTGCAAGGCCCTATAAGAGGGGGAACTGCACTCTCAATGGAAAACTCTCGGAGTCTCTGGTTAGCTTTTCAATTGCAAAAACACTCAGAAAAACTCCAGGTAGAAGACAAGAAAGAAGAAGAAGCAGCAACAACTCAGTGAGGAAGCTAAGTTGAAGAATAGCAACCCAGTTTCTTCTTCAGTTCCACGAGTGAACCCCTTCACTCCCAGGAGTGACTCAGAAACTGCACAAGCTTTCTCCTCATCTCTTGACTGTTAGCTTGAATTTTGTTTACTATGCATACTTCTATGATATCTTTCGATGTAGTAGACGTAGTATTAATCTGTATGAGTAGCTAAATAGTTCCCAGGGGTTATTCTCCTCAACTGATGTTGTAGTTGTCAAAGCACTGGTTATGTTCCTTGTTTTATGGTTGAAAGTTTTTCTACATTCATTTACTTGATCACTAAATTGAATGCATGCTAGAGCTAAGGGAGATCTGGAAGGATAAACTTGGTTTGGATTGTTTCAACTTTAACTTATAATATAGAGGTAACAGTCTATGGTTTTAACTAAGATAGGAATATACTTAGTTAACATAAGCATTCTTGAAGGCCTAAGAACTTAATGACTTTGTAGCTGGAATCAATCATTGGAAAATAGGTTGTTAAGGTTGCGAAGATGACTCTAGGAAAAATGGAAACTGACTTAGAGTTATAAGTGAGCTGAATGAACAAGAACTCAACCATTACAGTGCTAATAGAACAACTACAACAGTAGGAGAGGAGAAGAACACCCCTGGCCTCCATTCCCCTGAGTAACTGTTTCCATTTTCCTGAGTGACACCTTGTTGACTGACAGTTTTTCTTTACAACAAATTTGGTAATTAGCTGTCCTCATGGGATCGACCTAGCTTCCATTATCTGCAAAACTCATAATCCAAGCTAGTAATATTTATCTTTTTTTTTGGTGAACTCGGCAAGCACCAGTCGATGATGTCAGTGCCCCACTGGTAGAATGGCCACGGGATTTGGATAGTGACCATTTCGTGTTGTAGCTGCCAGGTGATAGGCGAGAACCGTTGACGTCTATCGCACTTTTGCACGAATTGGTATGCATCTTTGAAGACTGTCGGCCAAAAGTATCTTGCTTGAAGAACCTTTTTAGCTAATCCTCTTGCTCCCATATGGGCGCCACATGAACCTTCATGAATTTCTTCGAGGACGTAGGCTGCTTGTCTGGGGCCGATACACCGCAGCATTGGCAACAAATACCCATGCTTATATAAGATTCCATTCCTCAGTGTATACTTGACTGCCTTCAGTTTCAGTGCTCGAGCTTCTGACTTATTGTCGGTAGCACTCCACTTTTGAGGAACCGTATGAATGGAGTCATCCATGTGTCGCCCTCTTCTGTGATAGTGAGAGAGACTCGGGGATAAATGCTAGGTTCGGGGAGCATTTCGACCCACACCTTATGACTTAATTGTGCGAAATTAGACGAAACTAACTTACTCAGGGCATCAGCTCTTTTGTTGCTGGTTCTGAGAATGTGGGAGATAGAACATTTCTCGAACTTACTCCTGAGCTCGAGGACTTTTTCAAGGTATGGCCGGAGATGCTCTTCCCGGACAGTGTAATCGCCATGAATTTATCTAACCAACACTTGGGAGTCGCTAAAAGCTTCCAAATTCTGGACTCCTAACCTTATAGCCATGTTTAACCCTGTTATCATTGCTTGATATTCAGCCACATTGTTGGTTACCGGGAAACCAAACCTCAAAGCGTAGGAATATTCAGCCTCATATTCTCTCATCTCTTCGATTTTCCGTGACGCAGCTGGTTTGGCCAATATAATCCCAGCTCCTCCCCCATCCTCACAAAATGAGCTGTCGATGTAAAGAGTTCAGGCTTGCGGATCTACAGGAATGTGTTTCTGCGGTGGTGTTTTCGGTAGTGGCTCCAGCATGCTGTCTGAAGTGCGGGGTGTCTCGACAAGGAAGTCCGCAAAGGCCTGCCCTTTTATAGCCGACCTAGGCTTATACTCTATATGGTACTCCCCCAGCTCGACGGCCCATTTCATCATCCTACACGAGGCCTCAGGCTAGAGAAGAACTTATTGTATAGGTTTTTTGGTTAAGACTTGAATCGGGTGAGCTTGGAAGTACGGACGAAGCCGTCGAGCAGCGATCACCAGACTTAGGATAAGTTTTTCCATAGGGGTGTATCGGGATTCTGCCCCCTGTAGGATTTTGCTCACAAAGTAAACTGGGATTTCTTTGCCGTCTTTTTTCTCGATGAGAACCGCGGATATAGCAATTTTTCGAGCAACAAGATAAACGTATAGGGTTTCTCCCGGCTCCGGTTTAGCTACAATGAGAAGTTGCTTGAGATGCTCTTTCAAGTCCTGGAGGGCTTTCTGACACTCTTCAGTCCACGCGAAACTCCTTTCTTTTCGCAATGTCTTGAAAAAGGGTAGGCTCCTTTCTGCAGCTCGAGATAGGAACCTATTTAATGCCGCCAGGGAACCCGAAAGCTTTTGCACTTCTTTGACTGTTTTTGGGGCTTCCATGGACAAAATTGCTTCGACTTTTGCGGGATCAACGCTCATTCCATCTTTTAATACTTGAAAGCCTAGGAACTTTCCGGAGCCAATGCAAAAAGTACACTTCTTCGGATTCAAGTTCATGTTAATTGCCCGAAGAATTGTGAAGATTTCCCTCATGTCCTCGACTACCCTGTTGTCGAGGTTGCTCTTTATGACCATATCATCTACATAAATTTCGATGTTTTGCCCGATTTGATCGTGGAAAACTCTGTTAACGAGACACTGATAGGTGGCTCCAGCATTTTTTAAGCCAAATGGCATTTTATCATAGCAGTACACTCAAATTTCTGTGATGTAAGCCGTTTTCTCTGCATCTTCTCGAGCCATAAGGATCTGGGGTATCCTTTATACGCGTCGAGGAAGCTAAGTGTTCTAAAGCCAGTTATCCTCTCGACCATCTGATCAATGACGGGCAAAGGTAACAATTTTTAGGGCAATGTTTGTTAAGGTCCGTGTAATCCTGACACATGCGACAAGAATTATCCGGTTTCCGGACAAGGACTGGGTTGGCCAGCCACGTTGGCCAAAGGATTTCCTGGAGTATGTTGACGCGGACCAATTTGAGCATTTCCTCATTAATGACGTCATTACGATCGCGGGCAAAAATTCTCTTTTTCTGTTTGACCAGTTTGACATTGGGGTCGACATTCAACCTTTGATCAATGACTTCTCGAGGAACTCCGGTCATATCAGATGGCGACCAAGCAAAAA